ACCAGCAAACAGGACAAAAAGAGAGGATTGAGAGAGAGAGAGAGAGAGAGAAGACAATGGGGGGGGGGAGACTTGAGTCTAAACTCCGTTTTAGAGGCCAACAGACAGACCTTTGCAAACAGTTTTCTGATTTTAAAACCAAAAGACTAAAATGCATTTCAGAGACCAACATCCAGACAGACCCCTTTGCAAACAGTTTCTGATTTTAAAACCTACAGCCAGCACAGAAACATAACTGCCCACCTAGCCACCTAGTCCAACCCCAAGCTGCAAAACCCGTGTACAGTAAATATAGTGTACTCACCCAGAACAAGCAGTCTCTGTTTTAAAAAAGTCAAAAATTAAAAAAAAAACACCACCCCAAAACCAGTCTGTACAGTACAGTATCAGGCAATCAGCAGTCTGAAGTCTCTCTCCATATCCACTCTCTCTAACCGCTGGGACAAGCAAGGTAGCAGACAAGCAGCCTCTTCGCTGGCCAACGGTTAACTGAAAGTTCAAATTCCCCGTCTTCCCTGCTTTTTTTGTTTGTAATTCAAAGCACCGTTCGCAAATCAAAGCAAAATTTTGCAAACGGAGCTGTTTGTAACTCTAAATGTTTGTAGGTTGGGATGTTCATAAGTCAAGGCACCACTGTACCACCATAGTGGAAGGTAACGGCATTCCATGTCTAGTCATTCTGGCCACGTGACCATGGAAACTGTCTACAAACGCTGGCTCTATGAGTTGGAAACGGAAATGAGCACCACACCCTAGAGTTGGACATGTTTGTCAAGGGGAACCTTTTCCTAAACATGTACAGCATTTATGCTCTCCTGCAGTAATACTGTACATACTTGCCTGGAAAGCAGCCCACTCAACTATTAATAGATAAACTGGTATGAGATTACCTAGGAAGCAGTGCTATGAACTGATGCTTGGGTGCATTTTGTTTTACTTAACAGACATTGTGAAATAAAATTACACAAGAGTCTTCTATATAATCAATTCTGAAGCTTATCTTCATCCAATAAATTTATTAACAGAACTGTACTATGAAATTTTGATACCAGGTGTATTGAGAGATATGGCACTAAAGTGCAGCAGTTGCTTAAAGCAAGTAATTCATTATCATGAGAAAGAAATCACACCATACAGTGGACCCTTGACTTACAGACGGCTTGACTTACAGACTTTTTGAGTTACAGACTTCTCTGGCCGCAAAATTTAGATTTGATTTGCAGACTGAGATTTGACTTACAGACCAGAAAAAAAACCAAAATGGAACAAAAACGGCCTGTTACGGGATTAATCGGTTTTCAATGCACTGTAGCTCAATGGAGACTTGACCTACAGACTTTTTGACCTGCAGCCACCGTTCCAATACGAATTAATTCTGTAAGTCAAGGGTCCACTGTACTGCCTGGACTGTATTTTCCCTGCCTTCCCTGTACCTTTCTTGACCTAAGAAAAAAAGAAACAAAATATCCCCCTCTAGTGGTCGAAGGCGGAATAGCAGCTTCCCATTAGTTTCTATGGACGGAAAAGAGCAGATACGGATCAAATGGTTTTCAATGCATTCCTATGGGAAATGCAGATTTGACCTGAGAACTTTTTGACTTGAGAACCGCCTTCCAATACGGATTAAGTTCTCAAGTCAAGACCACACTGTACATCCATTAAGCACACGATTATCCACTCCAAAGTGGTTCCACCTTGGCCTCCAGATGTTTTCAACTACAGCTCCCACAACCCCTTACCACAGGTGTTATGAAAACTTACAGGAGATACCAAACACCACACTGATCTAACTGGACTGGCAGAAGCTCTCTCAAACAAGGGGCTTTTCCAGCCTTTCTTAAGAGATGTCTGGGGCCCTTTCCATGAATCTCATGTTCTTTACTACTACTGTACTAAGATAATAATCCTTCCACAAGCTGCAGGAGATTCATTGACATGAAGTATCTTTCTCAAACAATTTTAAGGCTGACTCTTGCCTCCTGACAACAGCATTTCCGGGTGTCAGCCTGCCCTGTGCTGGAAATGAAAGAATAAAGAGACAATAATTGCAAAACATGGACAAAACAAAACACAGAAAAACGAATATAGATGGGCCCGAAGACAAGCTAGCTCCCCCACTTCATGCAAGTAAGGCAAATCTTTTGGCATTTTGTGTTTACATCTTTAAAAAGACAGCGAATCGGAAAATTTTTTTTCCTCCCTCCAGAAACTCCAGGTGCAGCTTGAAGTGTGTATGGCACGCACCCCACAACTCCTTGGGCCCAGACAGAAGTCAGTGCGAACACTCCGAAGAAAGTCCCACTGACCTCAACGGGACTTATTCCCAGGTAAGCGGGCACAGGATCACAGCCTACGTCTATCACCTTCTCCTACAAGCAAGCCATCTTAAAACTGGTGGCTTAATGGCTTTAATACCAAACAACCTCCCTTCAACCCACCTGGCTTTCCTACCATGATCACACGAGCCGCGAAACTCCGTGGGTCATTTTTACTGTACGACTCTTTCACTAATTTCGAAAGTAAACGTCGAGAGTTTCTCTACCCGCTCTTTCCCCCTTTTCACCGAGCCTCTGAGGATTTCCCACACTACGGAAGGGGGCGAAAAAAAAATCCTACGAAGGATCAGGGTGAAAATAATATCATCTGACTGAAGCTTAGAAAGGAAACGTCCTAATTAATACTTGTCTTTCAGCCCCCACCAAGTCCCAACAAACAGGACCCAGCAAACCACTCGTATTTAAACGCAAGTAAGTCCGACGCCACTCTCTTCTACAGGGAAAGACAGACGACAACGCCTAATTGACAATCTGTAATTTTAGTTTTTTTTCCCCCTCAACCAAGGCAAGGCCGCTGAGGTAAACGCCCTTGGCCTGCCCGTGCGCATGCGCGACAACGGTCAACGCAGCGATTGGCGGCTTCTTTTCCCCTCCTCCTCCTCCCATTCCAGCTGTTATGCTTGAGGAGGCGGGGCCGCGCACAAAAGAGTCCGAAAGGCCTCAGTCACTCGTCCTCCGCCCCCCCCGCTTTCCTTTTATAGAGGGGGGCGGGGTCACGGCCCGCGTCCACTCCTCGGCACGCGCGCTTTCTGGAGTTTCCCCTCCCTTTCCTTCTCTTGAGCTGCTGAGCCAGCTACGTACAGTATATATAATAAGACGGGTCGGCTACCCCTTCGTTCAACCGTTGGGTCTGTTGGAGAAGTGAGGCTTCGGTAAGATTCAACGCCGTGTGAGCGCGCGAGAGAGCGGGGGGGGGGAAGAGAAGAGAGTTGGAGGTGGGCGGGGCTTCTGTGGCGGTTGCACCCGCGCCTCTCCGGGCGGTAATGAGCGTTCTTTTCTGAGGAGTAGCTAAGGCGTTACTGAGGCATTGTTGTATTCCACTTACCTAGGGAAGAGAGTGTGTGTAAAAACAAAAAGAACGAAGGGAGAGTGTCGTTCCCTGCTCGTAAAAATGAAATTTTAAATAAGGTCGTCTGCTCTGCACAATGACCTAAAGATTTCTTTTTAAAAAATATATTTTTAAAAAACACCATTTAAAAAAATAACGTATTTTCAAACCGCTTCTCGTCCAGCCGGGTTGTCGGGCGGAGTTAAAAGCATAGTGACTCGAAAGGGCAGATGGCCTGCTTATGACTCAAGCATCAGAGCGTTGCACAATTTTAAAATTATGGGCGTGTGCGAAATGTAGGTACAATTTAAAGAAAAGACAAATTAAGTTAGAAAGCATAGTACCCTTAGGGTCGGTGGGACTTGAGTTATCCATGGCTGAATTGACCCCTTTAATTTCAGTTCCACGCGTGACTAAAAAGTTTCTCCGGAATGGCCCCCAAATCGCTCAAAATCGCCGTCATGCAGGATGATGTGACGTGTGACTAAGCATCCGCAGGGCTGTGCTTCATGCATTAAATATGTGGGGTTTTCCGCTGCTCTTCACTCATAATTCTTAGAACGATATGTTAAAAAAATTCCAAGAATCATATATTAATTATTTTTTAAGTGTTTAGTCATTTTATGGTGCATTGGTGCACAGGATATGATATCAGGTACGTATGGTGCAAATAAAGTCTGTTTGCAAATGTATAAATTCCATTGGTTTTCCTGGGATTGTTTTAGAAATTAATATGGTGAAGAGTGTTTAGGAAAACAGAAATCTTGTGTATTCTTTCTTTGGAATAAGCCACCTCACGAAGTTGGACATGACTTAACGACTAAACAACAACAAAAATAATAATAATAATAGGGTCAGTTATATTTCTGGGTTGGGTTTTTTAAAGGCAAAACCAATTAAAGCAAAAAGTTTTATTTAAATTTATTTAAAATGTTTTTTACTCTGCCTTGCTTGCTGCAAGGATATTAGTAGAATTGTGGTTTTTTTTAAACGAACTATTTTAACCATCTATTTGGTAGTGCTTTTATTTGTTGGGTTTGGAGTAATGTCTGTGCTTGCAATTTGTGGCATCCCAGATATTGTTGGACTTCTGATCCCATTAGTCTTGGATAGCATAACCAGTGGAACGCTGAATTACATGGCATGAAGTGGCTAAATAAATAATGTGTGGCTAAATAACTCACATCCACATATCCAGAGATAGGACAACCCAATTATCGGATGCTGAAAGAGTCAGAATGGGATGACTGACCAATTCTAAAGCTAGGTAAATATTGCCCTTTTAAATTGTACACTTGATAATGGGATTTATTTTCTCACCAGTTACAAGCTAGCTAATGATGCAGTATAAGCAGGACATGAAAGAAGTAGATGTTGGTACATTATCATTCAATATCATTTTGTAGTAATTGGTATTTTATTCTTATGCCAGTCCCATTGTTCTTTTCACCACTTCCTTTGCAATGTGATCTGCTGTTACTCTCTTTGCTGTCATTCCATCACATGACAATCCATTCATTCTTCTTGATATGGCCCACACCCTTGTAGTTTTCCATTTCCATCTCCCCAAACCTCTGTGAGTCAGCCTTCTTGAATACAAATCTAATAAATAGCTCTACTAACATTCTCTTCTACTTAGATTTTTTTCTGGTCCAGGTGCAATAGTCTGTCACAGACAACCTAAAAGTATCCCAGATAAGATTATTTAAAGTTTATATGTTTTTCAGGTCTCTTTTACAGTAAGATTTTTGTATTTTTCATATTGCTTTGTTTATATACCTATAATGCAATATGAAGTCTAGTGGTGTTCTTCCAAGCCTGGGACTTGGTATTAATGTTCACTGTTAATATTACATTGCTACTTTATTAGATGAAAGTCCACCTTGCATTTTCCTTCATGTAATACCTACTATCTCAGAGTGCATTCAGGTTTTTGTTCTTTTGCATTGATCTCATTTTCATTAGCACTTTGTATCATTGTCTTGCATTATGTTTGTCCCTTTGTCCTCACTTTATGAAAACATCCTCCATATATTGTGCTACATATATGATATATCTACCCACAGACATTCTTTCTTCAAATACTTACTGACATGAGTCTTGGGTCATAGTGGTTGGATTCTTTTTACACAGTTATAGAAGTGGTGTAACTTTTAGATGTGAATTGCCATAAGTTAAAATTTCTCTAGGCTTTGTCTGTTGCACTCTGAGTTGCATGCTTCAGTATGTTACCACATGCAATGTCTGTGGTAATTTTTTAATTTATAGCAATCTGCTTCCAGAGCTTACACCTGTTTGCATAAGTGCACAGGATTTCAGTGTGGTTTTAGTCTTGAAGTGTTCAGTACAAAGCAGTGTATTTATTGATATTTATTTTGAAGAATTATGGTTATAGAGCTTTCCAGATTCCTGACTATTCATAGGCATTAATGCATGATATCTTCATTTTATGACCCTAGAGATCCTGACTTCCAAATACAGAAAAGTCACATCAGTACAAATTAAGACAAAATTAAGAAAAAATTACTTTATGTTATGGGAAGTGTACACAATGTTCTATATAGAGAAGTTTGAATATAAAAATGATCATATGTTAAAACACCCCATCAAAAGCTCTTCTTCTATGCTGTAGAGCTAGGTAGAATTCTGATGAATGCCAAACACTTAAAAATTATGCAAGAAACAAAAAGATCATAGTACTGTATTAGTAGATATAAAATGGCTATGTTCCCCTCTCCTTGTTCTGCATTTCATAAGGAATGAGATAAAATTAGTTTAATTACTATGGTAGAATTATTACTACTGTTTCCCATGATTTATGTTCATGATCCTTTGTAAATAACAGATATGAAAGGACTATATCTGAAGGGCCTTAAAGATGGAAAACTATAAAGGGAAGAGAGGAAACCTGTCTAAGTAAGGAAAATACTTGAGTGCTTCAGTTATACTTTGGCCTATTTACAATGCAGCATAAGGTCTAGTGGGATGATTTAAGTTTTTTTCTAGAACAGTTACTATGGGCGGATGTAAATTTGATCCTTGTACAGTGGACCCTCGACTTACAGACGGCTCGACTTACAGACTTTTCGAGTTACAGACTTCTCTGTCTGCAAAATTTAGATTCGACTTGCAGCCAGAGAATCGACCTACAGACCAGAAAAAAACCAAAATGGAACAAAAATAGAATAAAAACTGCCAGTTATGGGATTAATCGGTTTTCAGTGCATTGTAGGTCAATGGAGATTCGACCTACAGACTTTTTGACTTGCAGCCACTGTTCCAATACTGATTAATTCCTTAAGTAGAGGGTCCACTGTAGTCTGTAATTATGTATGCTGAGTGGCAGTGGCTTATAAGTGTGACTTTTTTCAGTTTTAGCATGATATGCCAAGGTTGACCCTGAGGTCTTCTGCATGCACATCATGTTCTTTTCCATTAAGCTTTGCACCCTTCCCAATAAATTTTGCAATAGTTACATATTTTATTTATTTAGATATATGCCATTCATGTAACAACAGCCGTCTCGAAACACAGTTGAAAGGATGTCCAGTTTGCATATGGCATTGCATCTCTGTACATGGAAGTCTTCAGTACCTAACTGATTAGGATACTTATTATGAATATGTAGGTGTTGGCTTAAGGGGCTCTGGCTCATTCCACCCCTTTTGTTCATTAGGGAACCAAGTGGTGTGTGGTAAAGAACCACCACCTTTCCTTTAACATTTTAACTGGCAGTCTTGTGTAAATCAGATTAGTTGCAACGTAGGGGGACTGGTATTGCAAAATATAGTTTAGCTTTTCTTTTCTGCCAGCATATTTTGTGTGTTTTTCCTGCAGAAACTTGACCCTGAACTGTGCAGCCAAACTTAACTGCTCAAACACTATGTCAACAATGTTAATATATCAGTGCCTTGTTATTTTTTTCAGCATACAGTGGGGTCTTGATTTGAGAACTTAATCTGTATTGGAAGGCGGTTCTCAAGTCAAAAAGTCTGTAAGTCAAGTCTCCATTGACCTACAGTGCATTGAAAACCGCTTAATCCCGTAACAGGCCGTTTTTGTTCCATTTTGGTTTTTTTCTGGTCTGTAAGTGAAATCTCAGTCTGCAAGTCAAACCTAAATTTTGCGGCCAGAGAAGTCTGTAACTCAAAAAGTCTGTAAGTCAAGCCGTCTGTAAGTCAAGGGTCAACTTGTATACAAAACAAGCACTTTAAGAGCTAAGTCAATTTTTTTCAAGTACAAAGCCTTTGTAACTATAGATATAGACAAACTCTTCTTCATCCGTGCCTAATAATTTAACTGTGTGGAATGAAGTTTAAACTTTATTTCCCTTGAATATTTCTAATAATTTACATGTGTACTCCATTACTGTCCTTTAAGAAGCTCATTTATATATTTGTTTTTCTCTTCATTCAGGTCTTGGTAATCTGAAAGGCCCTGTGATTTTCTGACACTTGACATTATATACAGTTTCTTCTCCTGAACCCCTATATTGCAACATGGCTGCCTAAGTTCCTTGAAAGGGGTTTGAGTTTGGAGCCTGGGAGATAGTTTTTTGCACACTCAAATTATACTTCACTGTTATCAAAAATAACTTTTTCTCTTAATAAACATGACCTGCTGTGATGCTTTAGTTCATAATAAGAGAATGTGCTTTCCTCCTATAGTGCAACATAATTATGTTAAACCTGATAACAATCTAATTATAATATGTATAAGAAAAATAAACACCACAGAGTTAAGGACTAACAGATTTACTTCAGGGTGAGCTTTCACTGTTTCCAGTCCACTTCATCGGACATAAGTGGATTGTAATTGTCAAAAGCTCACACTGAAACAAATTTGTTAGTCATCAAGGTGCCATAATTCTTTTGGTATGTATGCTGAACCAGACTAACACAGCTATCTGCTGGAAAAGTATTAAAGCAACCTGTTTAACATTTTGTTGCAAGACTGAATGATGACATAAAGAAAGGAAATGAGCCAGGGCAGCTACAAGCTTGTTAATACCCAGAGCAAGTTCATAGTGGTAGGAGAGCTCACCTCTGTCTTAATAGTTCTGTTGCTTTCTTGATACACTGTAAAGGAAATTCTTAAATATGATCTTGGTAAAGATTATTGAAAAGATGTACTTGTGGCAAAGAACAAATATTTTCATAGGGAGAATGTCAAAACATAGTGTTGTATCTAGATTGATTTTTGCTCAACGTATTGCATTATTTGGAAACCAGCAATGCAGCTTGATCTTACACTGCTTTACTTCGACATCTTTTGATATCAGTAGTCCTTGTGAAAGCTCACCATGTTTAGTTTAGTTTCTGTATGAACCTTCCTTTATTTTAAGATTGCCTTAGTTTCTCTCTGCCTCAAAAAAGTTAAAGCTAGAATGACATTACTACTGATTAGGAAAAAGAGAACTTGTTTTAAGGCAGAAGAGGGTACTGTAAATAAAACCCAACCAACCAAACAAAAACCCCAGATTGTTCAGTCAGAAAGTACTGAATGAAATGGGTACTTTATATGAAGCGTTTTAAATAAGGAATTGCATTTAATGTTTTACTTTCAGGTTCTTATTTTATCATGGCTTGGAAGTTAATCAGGCTTGCACAAAACTATCTCCCCGGCTTCAGACTCATCCCCTATTCCTATCCTGTTTCATCATGATGAACACCTTTGACTCATTCCTGGCCAAATTAAAGAACTTCGGTAATGTTAGTGAACTGAAGTACGACTTGTCATGTGAACTCTACAGAATGTCTACATTTTCGACTTTTCCTCTGCATTGTCCAGTGTCTGAAAGGAGTTTTGCCCGTGCTGGTTTTTATTATACTGGTGTGAAAGACAAAGTCAAATGTTACAGTTGTGGCTTGATGTTGGACAACTGGAAGAAAGGTGACAACCCTCTGGAGAAGCATAGACAACTTTATCCTAGCTGCAGTTTTCTCCAGAATCTGAGTTCAATGAACAACCTTGGCACATCCTTGCGTTCTGCCTTTTCACCACCGTCTAACTTGGGTGGACTTACTTCTTCACATTCCCCAACACGAACACCAAGTTTGGATCAAGTTGGCTATTTCAGTGAAAGGTTTTCCAGTTTTCCCCAGGATCCCGTCACATCGAAGGCAGTAGAAGATCTGTCACATTTGAGACATGAAACGGGTAATTTCGCAGTGAACACAGAGGAAGGCAGATTGCTCACTTTCAAGTCATGGCATTTGTCATTTATGTCACCTTCGTCTTTGGCAAAAGCTGGCTTTTATTATGTGGGGCCTGGAGACAAGGTGGCCTGTTTTACATGTGGTGGTCAGCTGAGTAACTGGGAGCCAAAGGATAATGCTATGTCTGAACATCAGAGGCACTTTCCATACTGCCCTTTTGTGGAACAAATGCAAGGCCAGCCCAGTTTTACGTCCTCCAATCTGAACATGCGGACCTACACAGCACGTATTGGCACGTTTAAAACTTGGCCGATGACCGTTCCAGTCCAGCCACAGTGGCTTGCAGATGCTGGCTTCTATTATGTAGGTAAGTGAGCTTGTTCGTCTAGATGGCTAGAGATTTCCTTACATTATTGAACAATGTGTAACTATTTTCTGAATGCCTTTAAAAACAAACTCTGCAAATGTCTGTTACTGTTAAGGTCGCAATGATGATGTCAAATGCTTCTGTTGTGATGGTGGACTCAGATGCTGGGAGCCTGGGGATGATCCATGGGTTGAACATGCTAAATGGTTTCCAAGGTACATTTAAAAATTCTTATTTGAAACAATGACTGATGAGTTTCCTAACCTTGCTATTGTTTTTAATTAAAAGGCATGTCTATTCTTGATCTGTCTTAAAGGCATTTCCTTCTGAGATAATTTTTAGACTGTTGGGTTTAAAAGGAGCAGTTTATGTAGTGTGCTACATGTTCTGAACAGGTTGCTATCTTACATCACAAACTCAGATTCAAAAGCTAATGCAGGGTGGACACCTCCTTTTCAAAACATAAGCCCAAAGCCTTCTTGGGCATGAATGAATAGTCAGAATTTGGAGTCTGTCCTGTTGTTCCAATTTTGGATTACTGTAGCAGAACCAGTGCAGCATATATGTTCTAAAGGCTGATCTTAATTGGTTTTCCTCCATGTAATACTTTGTGTAGTATGATACTGAATGGATACTGGAAGTGTAATGACTTTTGCCTTTGTGCCCTGCACATGAGCGTTCAGGAGGCATCTAGTTAGCTACTTTAGGAAAGAAGATGTTAGACTAGATAAATTTATGATTTGATTTAAGAGGTGCTTTTAAACATGATTTGCACCTGACTGCCCTTAGCTACTTTTCCAGCAGAACTGTCAGAGGATTGCTGTAATATTAGAAGAACATGAGAGCATTACATCTCTGAGCCTAGGATTTAGACAGATATTGTGTCCCATGGACCCTGTTCTTTATGTCAGAGTAACGTAAAATTGGCAACTTCTATAAACTATTGGTTAGGTGTTCATTTCAACAATGAAATGTTGCCTGTACAGTAAACTAATGAATAGTCCAATGGAATGAGTAAAAATCTTGAGTATTTGCATATTTGTCACAGGTTGCTGATCCATATCATCTGACTCATGCTTGTCTAAATATGAAGGATGTGGGAGGCTACCTGATAGTGATCCATCCAGTCCAGTACTGTCAATTCTGATTGTCAGCATCTCTCCAGGATTTTAGACAGAGCTCTTTTCTAGCTCTGTCTAGAGACCCCCAAAGCCCCCAGGTCCAACCCAGTTAGGTTAACAAAAAGAGATGAAATTGGGTGTATTCAGTGATTTGCATATAAACACCATGGTTCTTAGCTTTGATAAAGAGACCCACCAGGTATTGAAAAGAATCCACAAGCTTTTCAGCCCTGATATGGTTATTTCTAGAGACAGGCAGGAACTGCAGTTCGGTCGTTTGGTGTGGCACCTGAACAGGAGTTCCGTGGGCATTGCACACATCCCTCTCTTGCCTCCTTTGCACTCCCGTCCATTCCCCAGCTGAAGCATGCTTCTCTTCCCTGCCTCCTCAGCACAATTGCCTACTCACCAGTTGCAGTGTGTGCTTCCTTGCTCTGGTGAACACCCACTCAGACAAGGGCAACCCCATCCAGTTCATCTGCCCAGGTTCCAGTATACACACCAGGTCACCCCCTTCATACACAATCCAGCCATGGATGGTGAATGTTTCATTATGGTCTGACTTGGCATTCAGCAGCAGTACCATCAAACTGGAGGATGAGCTGACAGCATGGCCTGGATCTTGAGGGATGGAGGAAGGACAGAAACATGGAATAGGTTTCAAGTATCCATTCCACGTTTCCCTCATCTGGGGTGTCAACCCTCAGTGCTATATCTCTCTCTGTCTTATGTAATACAAATAGGAGCATTACATTCCCCCGCCTCTCCCCTGAGATTCACCCAGGCACATTCCTGTATATATGTATAGGATCAGTGGCAAATGTAAAAGTGCAGCAGGTTAATGAGTTAAGAACTGAAAAAAAAACCACGTGGGAGGAAGGGAAAGTGCAAAATTTGAACTTTCAGTTAACTGTTGGCCAGTGAAAAGGGTGCCTGTCTGCTTCCTCACTCCTCCCAGCGTTTCGAGAGTAGATTGGGAGTCTTCAGACTGCCTGGTACTGCCTGGACTGTATTTTCCCTGCCTTCCTGTGCAGCAGGTTAATATAATAATACTCCCCTGGAAGTATAATGGCAATTCCAGGGGAAGCTACATAAAACTGCATGGAATGCAGAAGGGTATTGTTTTATGCCTTTTATACCTGCAGTTACATTAGGCATTTCTCTGGTCACCACCCTTTCCAATCTCAAGGTGCTTAGCTGTCATCTAGGTACGACATAATTCCTCCCATTGAACTCTGCCTCTCACACAGGGATTTTGGAAACAACCTCTAGCCCATTCAACCGACAGTCTTGCTGTAGGTGATTTCACAAGATCTTTTCTTTCACCCAAGGTTTGTGTTCCCAATCACTTAATCACATATGCCCCTGCGTCTCCCTAGAAGTAGTGACTTAAACAACAGGTTCTGCTGTTTTTATCCTCAACTACCCAGGAAGGTGAACATGGGGGGAGGAGGAACAGCTGGTCCTTATCAGCTGAAATGTTCCAGCAGCAGTCAGTGTGGTCCCCGTTCAGTGGGGAAGCAGCAACCTCTGTGGGGAGGTAGATGAGGTGAAAAAGTCTTTCTCCCTTCACTCCTATTGACCTGGCTGCTAGCACCCACTGTGGATTGACATAATCAGTAGAAAAATCTGTTTTCATAGATGTGATTTTGTTCTCAGCTAGTGTTTAAACACATTTTTATAAATTTCAGCTGTTTTGGGGTTCCATACATCATTCAGAATCGGTTCTTAATTATTATTATTTAATGTATTCTTTTGAGCATTATGCTCAAAAATTATCTGTAAGATGTTCACAACAGGCTACAGTAGTAATTGTGGTCATAATGACCAGATAGGCGGGGTATGTATGTATGTATGGATAGATAGATAGATGTTTGTGACAGGCTGCGTTACTGTGGAAATATTTTTATTTCAATCTCTTCTGTTTGCAGATATGGGAAGTAACGTACAATGTTTGGTTTATATATTAGAATTGTAACTTAATGTGTTTCATCTTCTAGATGTGAGTACCTGATTCATAGGAAGGGGCAAGAATTTGTTCGTCACGTTCAAGCAAGATTCCCTCATCTTCTTGAGCAGGTATTCATTTGCTTTCAATGTCAACATACTCTTTTTCCTTGTGTAACAATAGAGGTCTAAATTCAGCAGATTTGACATATTCTTTAAGAGCTTTATATTTTATTTTCCTCTTGGTCCACAAATTTACAAAACTGGACTATGTGCTAATCTTGCCCGTGCTAGCTACAAACGCTGCTATTGCAGACTGCCTTTGGCTTGTCCAGTACTAGCCGTCAAAGAGACAGATGGGCAGGTGTATGTATGAGCTTGCAGGCCAAACTAAGACACCTAATGACTAAAGTAATTTGATGTTTTTCAGAAAGATGCTATATCTGTGAGTTTCCATGATTGAGTTTCCATGTTCATGTGTGTGCCTGTATACCTCCAAATTTATCTCATTTTCCTGGTAGTAATAGCTGAATTGCACTGGTCTGCAGATGCGTGATGAAATAGATGGTAGTTCTTTGGGGAAGAGGGCAGGATGAAAGTGGAAGTGGGAATGAAAAAGGCAGAATTGGAGAGGAAGCTAAGGGTGGTGATAATTTCAATTTAAAATTGTCACCACTCTGTATTCCCCCTCTTGAGATTCTAAAATGATTAAGATGTGGTAAGAGAATACTATTATGCAACTTCACCATTTTAAAAACTAGACACAGAGATAATAAAATAAAACACATAGTTGTATTCTACTCCTAGAATTGCAGGTCACTGCTTAAAGTGATGTGGGTGGGTGCTCACCATGTACATTTGCAAAGAAGTTCACTTGAAAAATATTTGTATTTATCATCTGCTCTCTGTCTGTTCAAATCTGCATAGAATGTTTGATGGACATTCAAGGATTTCCCCATTTCTCTGCTCCTAGCATTGACAGTGTGGATTGGCCCTTTGATCTTCTGTCTACTTGTGAGCAGAGGGTTTTGCCTGTGCCAGCAAGATTCCTTGTGGGCTTGGGGCCAGATCTTAAAATTTGCTGCCACTCTGGTTAAGGTGGGGTAGGCAACTTGGGGTTCTCCAGATGTTAGGTAAAGGTAAAGGTTCCCCTTGACAATTTTTGTCCAGTCGTGTTCGACTCTAGGAGGTGGTGCTCATCCCCGTTTCCAAGCCATAGAAGCCCGCGTTGCCTGTGCCAGCAAGATTCCTTGTGGGCTTGGGGCCAGATCTTAAAATTTGCTGCCACTCTGGTTAAGGTGGGGTAGGCAACTTGGGGTTCTCCAGATGTTAGGTAAAGGTAAAGGTTCCCCTTGACAATTTTTGTCCAGTCGTGTTCGACTCTAGGAGGCGGTGCTCATCCCCGTTTCCAAGCCATAGAAGCCAGCGTTTCATCTTAAGACAATCTTCCGTGGTCACATGGCCAGTGCGACTTGGACACGGAATGCTGTTACCTTCCCACTGAGGTGGTCCCTATTAATCTACTCGCATTTGTATGCTTTCGAGCCACTAGGTTGGCGGGAGCTGGGACAAGTGACGGGCTTCACTCAGTCACGTGGATTCGATCTTACAACTGCTTGGTCTTCTGACCCTGCAGCGCAGGCTTCTGCGGTTTAGCCCACAGCGCCACCACGACCCCCCCCTCCAGATGTTACTGCAGTGCAATTCTCACCATTCCTTATTGACTGTGCTGGATAATAGGGCAGACAGGAGCTGCAGTCTAACAAGCTCTGGAGTGTTATGAATTGCCCAACCTAGAACAGAGGCATGGTTAGCATTTCCATCTCTGTCACCAGTAGTGGTCTCCCAACAAGGACAGTGCTGTTGCATTTCCCACCTGTAGATGTTTAGGATAAAGTTTTAAAAACCATTTCACTGTTATCAAACACATTATGTTCGCACAAGCATTGTTTTGCACAAACAAAAGTAATTGCTTTTTAAAGTACTTGTTCTTTGTCTTCTGTAGCTGCTCTCCACCTCAGAGTCACATGTGGATGAAAATGCTGGTCCACCAAGTAAGTGTCTTGATTTGACGTGTGAAATTGATACGAACACCAGCACTTTAATGTCAGAGTATTACTTATCAAATCATTTCAAACACTATAGATCCAATGTTGAAAAGAGTCAAATCAGATAAATTTTCTTGCCATTTTATTTAAAAGAGAAAGTCCTGGGTGTCTTAAATGTGCATTCGGGGGGGGGGGACCTATTATTGTTAATTGCTACTGTTAATGAGTGCCTTAAAAGGAGATTTCGGTTCCCATTCTTTTATTCTCATTATTCCACCTGAAATGGAACCTTTTGAATGGATTACAACAAACATAATAAAAAGAAAAATAATAATCCTGCAACAGTAGTAACACCGAAAGGAAAGAAATACTAATCAATGAATGACTTACTCCGTAAAATATACTTACTGTTCACGATAGATGTTGTCATCTAGCCATAAGGATTGAGTTGTATCTTAGGCTGTATTTGATTATTTCCTAGCCAGAATGGCACTAAGGTGGTCAGTGCTGTTGCCTGTGGAGCAGATATGACTAGTTTTCACTTCCTACAAGAGGAGAACTGGGGTCTGTGCCTTTTAAAGGAAAGAATGTGGCACATGGAGCCTTCCAGATGTTGTTGGATGGGAACTCCCGTGATTCTTCACTGTTGTCCTTTTTTGCCTAGGACTCATGTTATAGTCCAAGGTTCCCAACCTTGGATCCCCAGATGTTGTTGGACTGCAACCTTCAGAAATCTTGGCCAGCCCAGCTAGTAGTGAAGGCATCTGGGAATGTTAGTCCAAAAACAGTTGGTGACTGATGGTTGGGAACTACTATAAGCATCCTGAGAGCCATGAATTCTCTGCTTTTCTTTGAGGGGAATTCTCATAGCTCTGTGCGTGCTGTGCATATGTATAATCCCAGGCTGAGGCTAGAGTATGTTTAAATAAAAAGCTCTCTGGTAGGCAGAGTAGACAGTCCTAAGCTAAGTAACTGTTTAACAAAATGTTTTTACCTGGAACAAGGTAACTTGCGTGTTCAAAAGTTTGTGTATTTACGCTCTAAGTGTGCAAGAGTATTTTGAATAGCCATGTATAAATATATATAAAGAGATTATGTAAAGTTGTAAATTTTATTAGATATAATCTGTGTGTCCGTGCATTCTATTATAGAAAAAGTTAATAGAAGAGGAGCCCTTTCTTAGGAAATAAACTACACTGGTATATTGTCTATTTTGAATAGAAAACTCTTCTCCAAACCATATGGATCGAATATTTAAATACATTAAAATACATTATGCCATTAATTCTTCTGTCTGTAGTTATTCACTTTGAACCTGGTGAGAATGCTTCAGAAGATGCAGTCATAATGAAAACTCCTGTGGTCAAAGCTGCCTTAGAAATGGGATTTAGCAGAAAGCTGGTTAAGCAGATGGTTCAGAGTAAAATTTTAACAACTGGAGAGAATTACAAGAGCATAAATGATCTTGTTTCTGACCTCATTGCCGCAGAAGATGAAAAGAAGGAAGAAGAGAAGGAGACACAATTGGAGGAGCCGACATCAGGTATAGATTAAAGCCCAGTGTTGGTTCCCTCTGTTCCTGCTTGCATGGCAAACAGCTGTAGTGAGAATATGGAATTTACAAATTTATCATGGAAATATACCACCTTTTCTCACATTCTTTTCTGCTGCATTCTTAAAAATAATGATATAAGACTTTAATAATTTAGAAGGGGTTATAAAGGAGAACCAGGATATAAGATCTGTTTAGAATGAAATTATTGCTTATTAAAAGACATTTTTAGACTTCTGTAAAGATATATTAAGATCCATGATTAAATGGATTATTTCATGCCTGCCAAGATTTAAAAATATGTCTCTGAAATAGAATAAAAATAATAGAATAATTTCATTTATTCATACATTTGTAAATTTGGAAGCCCAAAATAGCTAAGTGTGAAAATATTGAAACCCACCATCCCATGTGTGGTATGACAAAAGTGGAGATCAGTTTGCTATGCACTAGCTTATGGGATCCTTGCAGAATAACCTCAGAAATTCTTTGTTACCGTATATGCTGTCAAGTCAGATCCAGCTTGTAACATCCCTAATATCTCACTTACCTTTCAAGATAAGTGAGATGTTTAATGAATGGTTTTACCAGTTCTACACCTCAGTGATTTTTTCATGGCTGAGCAGGGATTCGAACCTAGGCCTCCTGTGTCCTAGTCCAGTGGTTCTTAACCTTTTTGAAAGAAACGCCCCCTTGTGCCATTGAGGAAGTTATCATCGCCCCCCTCCCCGCGGTGATGATATCTTATTCATTCATTCATTCATTCATTCATTTATTTAAGACACTTAAATCCAGTGACCCCTGAAAACAAAATTAAATTCCAAGAAAATGAAATGCCCCCCAAAAAGTAACATTTAATGATTTAGTTGCAAGTGAATTTTAAGACGCAAAAAGAAATATAAAAAGGGCATAAAAACAAATGCAGGAACTAAAAATTTCAAGACAAAAAGTCTGAAACTAAATTAAAATTGGAGGAAAATATATATTCATGCACTGGAAAAAGGCTGCAGCCATCTTCACAGGTTTGGCTTGCTGCAGCGCCCCCCTACTGCCCCCTACTGCTCCCCTTCTGCTCCAGCGCCCCCACGCTGCCCGTTTTCGTTCTACCACCCCCCTGAAAAATGAAATTATCGCCCACGTTAAGAACCACTGTCCTAGTCAATCATTCTGTCTAGTACATCACACTAGGTATCTGGATACACGCTAGTCTTCGAAATTCGGATACTTAGATAGTTGCTTTGTTGGCCTGAAGTCCACACTCTAGTGATGGATGGGAGTTATGCAGCAGTTCAGCATTTTTGTGTTTCACTTTAATTCAGTATCTGTGGAAGGTTGTTGAAACCATGCTGCAAAAATAAAGTTGTCATACATACGTAACTGGTTGTTACAACCTGCATGCCAAAGATTTGATTCACTTAATGTTCTCCTCGAATACATGGTTTTCTTAGGGCACTTAGTGAGAATAGAAACATTTTACATGAAGCAATATCAAAGCAAGCTGTGGCAATAATAAAGTGTGTTATATAATATTATAATGAAAATAAAATGCATTTTAAATGGTAACATACACCAGTAGTATCCGACTGAGAAAAAAAATATTGAGTTCCTGAAAAGAAATCTTAGGTGTCAAGGGTTTCTTGGAAAGGATACTCAGTAGAGCACTGGATTATAAGCCACAGACAAAACTCAACTTGTATCAGGTAGTTGGGCCTCTCAAGGACAGACTTAGAAGAGATGCATATGGACATAGTGACAACAGCACAAGCAACAATTTACTACTTAAGCCATTTTACTTATGCCTAGCATATATTGCTTGTATGATTCTGGCAGTGGTTCTTTTTTGTAAACATTTACTGTGCATCTGACATGAAATGTAATATACTGTACTCCTTGCTTAATTTTGACATAATGTATTCATCTGATGGGTTAGGAATTGCTGCTTTCCACCTTAGCCTCTCAGTTATAACTTCACCTAGAGTGCACTGCAAAAGCAGTGCTCCATTATGCAGATACAAAAACAGAGAAGTGAGATTTTGAATGCCTGAATAGGTTAAAGGTAGGCCCTAGTTTGAAACTAGAAGTTTAAGACTTCTGTTGAATGGCAGATATTCCAATAACTAAAAAAAAATGGCACACTCTGGTTTTTGTTTTGTGATCTATTATACCACAATGGATGGATTTACTTAAAAGTCCCACTAAAGCCAGTTCACAAGTTGGCCAGAGAACTGCAACCTTAGATATATAGAGTAAACTTGAAACACACTACAATATGTTAAATTGCATTTGTTTTTCTAAATCCTTGGTTTCATGCATAAAAAGATGTGAAGTTAGTGCAAATGTAACGCTGTTTAATACTTACCCATGCCTTAGGGATAAGGAATGGCTTGTATCATGCCTCTCCCCAACGTGATCTCAGAACTTCTGCAAATTTATATATCTGCTTATTTTTTTTAAGACTCAGGGTTGGGGGAAAGGAGAATTGTACATTTCTCATATTTTGCATTTATGTTTCAGATCTGGCCTTAATCAGAAAGAACCGAATGGCATTGTTTCAGCGCTTGACATGTGTGCTTCCCATCCTAGAAAGTTTACTAACATCCAAAGTAATAACTGACACTGAACACCAAGTTATTAAACAAAAAACCCAGACACCTCTACAAGCGAGAGAATTGATTGATACCATCTTGGTGAAAGGAAATGCAGCTGCAAGCATATTCAGAAGATGTTTACAAGAATGTGATCCTGTGTTATACAAAGACTTGTTTGGTGAGTTTGTTATGATGGGCTGGTTAATATCTTAACATCTTGTTGCTTCCTTTTGGGTGGCATCTTCAGCTTATTGCAATTCACAGAACATAAATTGGATTTTATTGAGATGACTTTTATGAGTGAGAGATGCATACTGGTGAACTGTATACAACATTTATTTGAATTGTAGGCACTGGATACTACAAAGGAAACTATTGTTTCAGGAAATCTATGATGTGTCTTGAATAAAGTTAAGAGTTCATCTGTGACTGGATTCAAATAGCTGAATTATCCAGCTAACATTACACCTTATTTTTCTTCTTAGTGGAAAAGAATATGACATATGTTCCAGCAGAAGATACTTCAGGTAAGTACAGAAACTTGGGCAGTTTTTGGAAGAGTAAGGACTGCTAATGGGATCTGTGTAAAAAGTTCCATAACAATCATATCAGGAACATTATACTGGGAAGATGTTTCGGCACCCACTCAGCACTCAAATTGCAAAACTCTTCTTGTGCATAACTATTGATGCTTCTGAAAAACAATTCAGGGATGAGATGTATTTATATAGCATGATAAAAACAAAAAAATCCAGAAAAAGTATTTTCATGACATATTACTAGAACTGGCCAGTAGAGAGAGTCAGATGCCCTGCTCCATATTCTTCAATAACAAGTATATTTACAGTGGTGCCTCGATTTAGAAACTTAAGTGGTTCCGGAAGATGGTCATCACTCAAAATAGTCGTTAAGTTGAAGCACCATTTCCCATAGGAATGCATTGAAATGCAATTAATCCATACTGGTTGAAGAAAAAAATCACCAAAAAACCCACCAACACTGCAAGACCCATTGGAAACGTGATTTATCCGTTCTGGCCAAAGCGGGGGGGGGGAATTTATCCGGTCTGGCCAAGGGGGGGGGGGGACAGAAAAGCAAACAAACCCTGCAAGACTCATTGGAAATGGAAAAAGAAAACCCCAAAAAGCAAACAGAGACTGCAAGACCCATCGGAAATGCAAAAAGAAAACCCCAGAGAGCAAACAGAGATTGCAGTAGCCATCGGAAATGCAAAAAGAAAACCCCAGAGAGCAAACAGAGATTGCAGTAGCCATCGGAAATGCAAAAAGAAAAACCCCAAAAACAAACAAACTAATGGGAAAACAACCCTGCAAGACCCATCACAGCGTAGAAACCTAACCCCACCACCCAACCCAAAGCTATGCTGCAAAATCCACCCAGAATAGCCAGTTTTTAAAAAGTAGAAAGCGGCACCTTACCAGGCAGTCCGAAGCCTCCTCCAAACGCGCACACTCGAACCGTTGGGGCGAAAGAGTTCGAAAGAAGCAGCCTCCTTAACACCAACAATTAGCAATTTGAATTCACTGCCTTTTTTTTCTGGTTGTAACTCAAAGCTCCAGTCGCAAGTTGAAGCAAAATGCTGTGGCTGGAGCTGGTTGCAAACTCGAAATGGTTCATAAGTTGTGATGGTTGTAAGTCAAGGCACCACTGTAATATGGTGTATGTCTCCTTCTAGTGGTCAGCTCTGGTAAATACATTGTGAATATATATATATTTCTAGTTTTTCTCTTAATATTTTTAGACCGCAGATAAGTAAAACAGTGGATAATGATCCTGTGGATGTTGGGGGGGTGTCCTATAATACTGAGAAGATTGGAAGGTAGTTGGGGCTCCACTGCTTGCCTCTCTTTCTAAAAAGAAAAAAAATCTCTCATTCACTTCATCTGCAAACCTGTGATTTCTATATACAGTACGTCTGAAATCTGTATATTTCTTCTCCAAGAGGATAAAGTACCTGTACATATCTACTAAGAATGCCATCATGAAACAGAAGTATAAATATGCATTTACATCTTGCATTTTGACTTTTCAGAGAGTCAAAGCTGCCCTCAGGCTTGCTTTAAAGTTGTGACTGACCTTTGTTCAGACTGCATTTTGAAGTGAACCCACTTGATCCATATCTATGCTTGGTGAGACACAAAGCACAGATATAAGTATACATCTACATAGATATAATGTACATTTTCTTGCAGAGTTTCTTAAATTACAGATTTAGCATTAAATAGGTCAGAACAGACTCAGGAATGAGCACACTGAGTAAAGAAGAATTTCTATGTATTTTAACGTACACATACATGAGTAATCTCAGTGAAGGTCTGATACCTAGATCAGCTTGCAATGGTGGCTGCAGAGAGGAAAGCAGTGTGTAGCATGGTAGATATGGTTACCGTGTTTCCCCGAACATAAGACAGGGTCTTACATTAATTTTTGCTCCAAAAACACATTAGGGCTTATTTTCAGGGGATGTTTTATTTTTATTTATTTATTCAGATAGAGTCATGTCATCTGGCTGCTGCACAAGGGTGGAGGCAGGGTTCCACTTAACCGGGGTTTATTTTGGGGGTAGGGCTTATATTACGAGCATCCTGAAAAATCATACTAGGGCTTATTTTCTGGTTAGGTCTTATTTTCGGGAAAACAGGGTATGTGTTTATGTCCTTTTATTGCTGTTTAGTATGGTATGTTTCTGTGTATAATAAATGGATTCTTCTTCTGCAGGCCTGCCTATGGAAGAACAGCTGAGACGGTTACAAGAGGAAAGAACGTGCAAAGTTTGCATGGACAAGGAAGTGTCCATTGTCTTTATCCCATGTGGCCATTTAGTCGTCTGTAAAGAATGTGCTCCTTCACTTAGAAAATGCCCTATTTGTAGAGGGACAATCAAGGGGACTGTGCGGACGTTCCTTTCCTGAAGTGGATAAGTTGCATAGGGTTTTTTTTGTATTTTTTGATCAGCCTAGCCTAGCCCAAGACACTTTGCTGAGTAAAATAATTACAGAACACAAGGCAAGCAGTGCTGACCGAGATCCATTTAACATGGCAACAATTCTCAGTGCACGCTTAGGTTAACTGTGCCTCAGGTAACTGCTTGGATTGCTATTCTAGGCAGGCAGCTTCTTTTACAATAATCCCCACAGTGCCTTGGAACAAATAAAGTGTGGTCAATACATGGTTTGTTACAATTGGTGAATTGCAGACATACCTGTTAATGAAGAAAGCACATCTGGATGATTGGCCTTTGTTAGTCCCAGATATCTTTTATATAGTATTGCTATAAATAAAAGCTGGAACATCTATACTGGAGCTTCTGGACTTACATTCATAATGGCTATAGAACTAATTGGAAAAATTACCAAGATGTTCACATTCTCATTTGTATGTTTGTATTCTGACAGTATTATAGATGCATAGCAATAAAACTAAAGATATGTAATATAATATTGTGTGTCTTTATGAAATAAATGCTACGAATAGAAGATTCTATTCTAGAATTTACTTTCTGAATTGTAGCATTATGCTGACTATAATACCATTTTAGAAGTGGGTACTTTCTAGTCCTTTAGCCTTGCACACGTTTTCTTGGAGTGGGGTGGGGAGGAGATGCTCTTTAAAGCAGTGGTCTCCAACCTTTTTGGAACCGCAGACCAGTTGGGGGATGGGGTACATGTGCAAGGGGCAGGGGCACCCCAGCGCTCGTGGGTAGGCGTGGCATGTTCATGGGTGGGCGTGGCACATTCACAGATGGGCATGGTGCACTTGTGCGGGTGAGTGGGGCACGCTCCTGGATGGGAGTGGCACACTCATGCGGGTGGGCATGCCACGCCCACCATGCGGGGGGAGAGCTGTCTCTGCAGCCCAGTCCTGTGAAGCCCACGAAACGGGGGTTGGGGACCCCTGCTTTAAAGCAGCTGGATTTCAAGAACACATGACTCTTTACAGATTTACCCCTGCATTAATATGTGATGGGAGGATCCAGACCACAAATATTTTAAAACTAATTGGCTTCTGGTAATGCTTCCAGCCTTGCAATCAGTTTATTACAGATACTTGCTTTTTAGTGCCCCTGTAGAGCAACTGAAACAGTTGGAAGTTTTACCCTTCATAGTATGATCACTTTCTCCTTGTGGTCTCTGACTCACATGTATGAGGTTTTCCTGTGTCTGCAGAGAACAGACTGTGCTTGGAGATTAACAATGGCACAAACACTGGGCAGGTCCCTAACCTCTCCCCAGATCGTCTCATTTCCTTTCTCTTTGCTGTAGTTGCAGCAGCATTTAGGAGAATTATTGTGAGAGACTGGAAATTCTTCCTCCTCTCCAGTTCCTTAATTTCATGTTTGCTCTTTATCCATCTCTTAGTTTTAATCTACAGGGTTGTAGTGAAGGTTGCTGTTTTACGCTGTTAAGTTGCTTTTCACTTACAATGATAAATGGAGCTTTTGAAGTATGTCAGATATTCATGGAGTGATTTATCTTTACCACCCTTCAGTGAGTTTTCTTGGTCATGTAGGGAGTGATCTTGGGTCTCCTGACGCCTAGTCTGACACTCTGTCCATTATACCACACTAGCTTTCCCACCAGTGGCTAGTGAGGGTAGCAAAGTGGAAAGTATATTGGCCTCAGCTTCTGTCTCCCACCCCCGTAACTATATTTTGTATTTGGACAATTTGTTTGTATTGTTAAGGGGCTTTTTTAAAAAGCTGCTAGTGACTGTCTAGGAGACAATAAACAGGATGGTTTATATTTTCTTGCTTCTAACTCTGTTTTTGTAAATGGTTTTACCTAACATTTTAAATATGTTATTCTTCATTAATAGTTGAATAATTTACTGCTTTTAATATAATGTTTTTAATGCTGTAAGCCACCTTGGGTCCCTTTTTAAGGAGGAAGATGAGGTAAAATATTTTAAATAAATAAATACCTTCATTTGCTAGCACATGTTCATTTATTCCTACTTTAAAAAGAAAAGTTACCTCTCCTGCTTTCTTCCTACCTGTGTTCCTAATCTTACATTCGCAAAATACCAAGCTGTTTTATAAATGTGACTAAAGAATGGAATATGTGAAGTGCCATCTCCTTCCACATGAACCTGCCAATTCGTTTAATATATTCTGAAAACATGCTTCCATCCCCTCTTTGCCTATTTATGGGAGACCTTCCCTACATAAGACACATTTGACGGCTGCTAATTCATGTTTTAGGTGCCAAGCTAAAAATGGTTATATTTTATTTATTTATTTATTTTATATCCCGCCTATCTAGTCGGTTAAGACCACTCTAGGCAGCTTACAGGAAAACATACAGCAATATATATAAAAACAATTTTACATAAAAAAACTTTCAACAAGGTAGGACAAGAAGGTCTTTTTTTAATTATCAGAGACCAGACTCAATCCTAGTAGTCTGTTGGGGGGACAGGATGGAGACCAAGGCAACGGTGAGCTGAAACAGGACAAAAAGTGAGTGGACAGTCCTTTTTTTCATTCTTTTTTGGTCAAACGCTCCATTTTCCCCCTGCCACCCTCTTTTCCTCTATTACCTTCTAAACCAGCTTTCAAGAAGTTGGCAAATCATTCTTGACAGAAATATGAATTAATTCATATTTAAAGAAAGGGGTACACAAAATTAAATACAAAATCTGGTGTGTGTTTGCATGTGCGTGGGTGTGTGTGGGTGGATGTGGTACAGGTGGACAGTTTGCATATGTACCACTCTTGTGCATGTTGAGTTGTTGATGTGATTAACTGATGATTAGATTGGGGTGGAGGTACTGGTATGATCCTGTGTCTCCCATACCCAGTTTGAAAATATGAACTTGGCTAGTATAAACATGGTTTATACGCTCCAACAAATCTATATGTACTCAAGCCAACATTTCATTTAATAAAATCAGAATTCATGTGGGGGCACCCACCCTTAGTACCTCCGTCTCGTCCGGGTTCAGCCTCGGGCCGTTCTGCTGCATCCATTGCAGTACGGTCCCCAGGCAGCGCTGAAGGGACAGAACGCCATCTCCTGCGGTAGGTGGAAAGGAGATGTAGAGCTGAGTATCATCAGTGTACTGATGACACCGGGCTCCACACCCCCTGATGACCCCACCCAGCGGCCTCATATAGATGTTGAACAGCATTGGGGAGATAATCGACCCCTGTGGAACCCCACAATTGAGACTCCATGGGGCCGAGACACTCTCCCCAAGCTGAACTCTCTGGGGACGGTCCCCCAAGAAGGAACGGAGCCAGACAAGTGCCGAGCCACCAACTCCCAACTCAGAGAGCCTCCCCAGGAGGATACCGTGGTCGACGGTATCAAAGGCCGCCGAGATGTCGAGGAGGACCAGCAGGGAGATTTTGCCCCAGTCGGCCTCCCTCAACAGGTCATCGTACAGGGCGACCAATGCCGTTTCTGTACCATAGCGCGGCCTGAAGCCCGACTGAAATGGATCCAGGGTGTCTGTTTCATCCAGGTGCGCCTGAAGCTGGTTGGCCACCACCCTCTCAACCACCTTGGCAGTTCATGCAATAGGTACGGTAAATTGCTTTCTTCCTTTTCAACATGGATTTTTAAAATATGTTTTGATTTGACTATTCATGCTTTGTTAGTTAGGAGCTATTTTGAAGGCAGAATAAAGATGTGATATCAATGTGCTCAACAGAGTATATGTGCTGACAAGAGAACCTTCTTTCGAACAGCTGTTAATGCACAGATTGTTGCATTATTCCATACTGAATAATTCCTACTTTTATTTTCCAAACAGTATGTCAAACAGCAAGCAAACAGCTGCTTAGTTCATTTACTTTTTGTTCCTGATCCCAAGATCCAATGAAGCAGCACGATTTTAAAGGAGGCATTTTCCCCCCAGAGTGGCGATATCCATTTGAATCAAACAGCACGGTGATGGGTGTTAAGTCAGTGTCTGGTTCAGAACGACACAGCAAGCTGCCTTGGAACTAGGCTCTTTATTGAGGCCAAAAGAAATTTGAAAGGCCAACACATCCAAGAACAGGACAAGGGGTGGCCAATCTCTATGGAGAGAAGAGAAGCTCTTCCTCCTCCATTAAGGTGACCCCTTGCATAAGGGCTAGGCACACCTGTACATCAAGGCCCAATTTACTTAAGGTTAAGTTCAAGCAGACGTGGACAGCCATGATCTCATACAACCTTCTGCTGGATTTCAAAAGGAATCATGTTCAGGAAATTGTGAAAAACAGCTATTCAAAGCTTCCTTCAATAACAGTTGCCTGGAAGCTGTTAATATTGATCTTTAATCTTTTTCTTGTTTTTTTCGGATTTCAAAAGGAATCATGTTCAGGAAATGGTGGAAAACAGCTATTCAAAGCTGCCTTCAATAACTCAGTTGCCTGGAAGCTGTTAATACTGATCTTTAATCTTTTTCTTGTTTTTTCTTTTTTTGCATTTTTATCACCACATTGTTGTATATATTGTTCATATTTGATCATATTTGCATTTCGTGACGGCTTTTAGCCAATATAATAAAATTGAACTTGTATATATTGTTATGTGGGCTCTGTGGGATTTCTAATTTAACTGGTAAACTACCTAGAGTAGTGCTTCCTGATAGGGACACAGAAAGAGGGCCATTTCAGTGGCTGCTCCCTTCTATAGGAGGCCCATCTGGCCATCTCCTCCTTGTCCTGCCAGCAGCCCAAGACCTTTCTACTCTGGGTTTCAGTGAATGACAGGCTGCCAAGGAATTTTTTTTTCCTTCAGATAAAGGATGCTATAAATCTTTCCCTTAATGTGCTTTTAAATTTTACTGTTTGAGCCAAATAATTCTAATACGTCATATGTTGAATTGTTTTTTAATATTGTTATTGATTTCACTGCCTGAACGTTCGTCTTTTTGATTATCCATAGAAACTAATGGGAAGCTGCTATTCTGCCTTCGACCACTAGAGGGGGATATTTTGTTTCTTTTTTTCTTAGGTCAAGAAAGGTTCAGGGAAGGCAGGGAAAATACAGTCCAGGCAGTCCAGTACCAGGCAGTCCGAAGACTGTCTCCCAATCCACTCTCTAAACGCTGGGAGGAGTGAGGAAGCAGACAGGCATCCTTTTCACTGGCCAACAGTTAACTGAAAGTTCACATTTTGCACTTTCCCTGCCTCCCACGTGGTTTTTTTCAGTACTTAAGTCAAGTCAATATTTTCCTATGAGAGTGGTTCTTAAGTCAAAATGTTCTTAACTCGAGCCGTTCTTAAGTCAAGGTCCCACTGTAAATCTTTCCCTTAATGTGCTTTTAAATTTTACTGTTTGAGCCAAATAATTCTAATACGTCATATGTTGAATTGTTTTTTAATATTGTTATTGATTTTACTGCCTGAACGTTCTTTTTTCTTTTTTGAAAGTTGCCTTGGGTCCTTTTAATGAGAAAAGGGCACAGTATAATTAAAATGAAGGCCTGAATGGTGCATGGCTCTT